TTGTTCCAAATGCCTTTGGAAAGTCCACGGCAGAGTGTGTCACAACAGGTTATCAGAGATTTGATTCCCCTCCCCTCTCCGCTCTTCATTTAAAATGCTGAAAGAAGAGATTTCAGATTGATTTCTTGAGTGCCATCAAGCCAAAGACACCCTGACCTTGTCCTAAAATCCATTCTCTGTTCACCCCGATTGGTAATTAGAAAACTTTAGGAGTGAATTTAATCACCAGGCAGCACAGCCTTGGAAGGACATGAGATAAAAACAAATGCAAGGTGAGCAAGGTCATATTCTGTAGGGATGACGTGCTTGGACATCCCAAAATCTTCTCGGACCTTAAAAATCTCATCTTTACAACAATCACCACCATGTTATCCCACGGCTCTACTGTTAGCAATAAAGTCCTGACATTAGAATGTGAACCTTGGCTCTTATTGCAATACGGACTCGTGTTCTTGATCGGTGTTAACAATCACTGAAAAATCAACAAATACAAGAAAATTACTATGACTAGCATAAGAACTGGTCTCTTGTGGACATTTATACGCTAGGTGAACTGATTATATGTCAAGAGCATTTGAAGTTACTCAAACTTCTCATTGCCTAAAAGCTAAAACAAGCATTTTATAATCCATTATACATGCTTGCCACTCCTCCGAAGCATACATGGTACATACCAAATTAGCTGTGTCACATCCCAAAGTAATTGCTCTCTTGCTAGGACATTCACTGATAACCATTCTAATAATTTGTCACTTAATGCAGCCATGGAGTTGACCAAAAAAAAACCTAATCCAACAAAGTAATTCACATTTAAAGGCACCGAAACTATTTCCTGCATGTACCTAAATAATTGCATCATGTACCAAAACAGCAACCTGTGCATTTCCCAGGCACTTTCCAAGTGCTGATTCAGTCTCAATTTTGTGCTGTTACTTTGCAGTTTAAAAAACCTGAATTTTAAAGCCAGTTAGTCCAGACTCCTTTGTCTTCAAGGTATAAGTGACATCTGGACTTTTAGTGTAGGGTTTTCAGAAGTATTGGCCTAATTCTGCCTCTGTTGAAGGCGAGGGGAGGTTTAGGGGTTTCATAAGTAAAGTTCAACGTTAATGAATCTTTGCAACACTGACTTTGTGAGCTAAAGAAGTAGGATTCCCTTTTTTCCCCCCGACCGGAATGGGTGGTTTACTGAAGCACAACCCATAATTTGCTCCCAGGAAAGCTGTGGCAGAATCAGGAGCAGATCCCAATACTACCATCCGTCCTTATTCAGCCTTGTGGCAGAAACATGAAGGATATTGACTGGAGATAGTACTCACCCAACCACACATGACAACCCAAAGTACAGTGAAAGCTTTAAATATGTACAATACAATTGTGCTATTTGCACATCCCTTCTCAACATGTCACCATGGGCCTCTGGCCTGATAAATACTGAGTCACAACGTGAGAGCATTTGCTTGGAAAATTAAAATCTATTATCATATTTGGCTAGGGTGACCAAACAGCAAGTGTGAAAAATTGGGACAGGGGCTGGGGGATAATAGGTGCCTATATAAGAAAAAGACCCCAAAATCGGGACTGTCCCTATAAAATCAGGACATCTGGTCACCCTATATTTGGCAGCCTTCTCCAGAGGCTTCAAAACACAATGGGGCAGAACCTTAGCTGAGGTAGGTTTCAGAGTAGCAGCCGTGTTAGTCTGTATCCGCAAAAAGAACAGGAGTACTTGTGGCACCTTAGAGACTAACAAATTTATTAGAGCATAAGCTTTTGTGGACTACAGCCCACTTCTTCGGATGATAAGACAACTCCCACCTGTTCATGCTCTCTGTATGTGTATATATATATCTCCTCAATATATGTTCCACTCTATATGCATCCGAAGAAGTGGGTTGTAGTCCACGAAAGCTTATGCTCTAATAAATTTGTTAGTCTCTAAGGTGCCACAAGTACTCCTGTTCTTTTAGCTGAGGTAAATTGTCAACGCTGTGTAACAGGCGCTCTTCAGAATCATTCCAGAATCCCGCAGAAAAACATCATTGCGGTGAAGCTCAGGTTACAGACACTCATCCATGTTTCGAGTGCACGTTACCTTTCAGAAACATTAGCGTTTTAAAATACTTACACGCACTAGAAATCCAGGAATGCAGTTAAGGTTGCACTTCTCAAACAAAGCACCCAAACTACATTAACTTTGTACCCGTAGAAATGCCAACCTACTACCTTTCCTGATACTATGCATAGATAAGGGCAGTGGTTCTCAAACTTTTGTACTGGTGACCCCTTTCACACAGCAAGCCTCTGAGTGCAACCCCACCCTTATAAATTAAAAACACTTTTAATATATTTAACACCATTATAAATGCTGGAGGCAAAGTGGGGTTTGGGGTGGAGGCTGACAGCTCACAACCCCCTCATGTAAGAACCTTCTGACCCCCTCAGAGGTCCCGACTCCCAGTTTGAGAACCCCTGGATAAGGGAATGGGAGTATCGCATATTCTCAAGGTGCCTCTATAAGTTCTAACAATTACATATATATTAGCACCCAACCAGTGAAAAACCCTTTGATTTTACAGTGTCACAGGAGCAGGTAAGCACCTGACAGTCACCTAAATGGAGAATGAGCATTCAAATAGAAACAACTTTGTTAGCTGCACATATTAAATATAATATGGTAGGATGGCCTAGTGGCTAGAACATTGGCCTATGACTCAGAAGATGTGAGTGCTATTCCCAGCTCTGCCACTGATCTGCTAGGTGACCTTGGGCAAGTCATTTCACCTTGCTGTGTGTCTCAGTTTCCCCAGGTGGACAAGGATTACTACCTTTCTTTGTAAAGTGCTTTGAGGTCTAGTGTTGAATAGCACCATAACAAAGCCAGTTTTTCTCAGTATTAAACCACAACTGCTGTTTCGGATTTTTCCAATAATAATTCCCAACAGTAAAGACTCCTCCCTATAAAAAGTAACATTGAAAAAATATACTGGGCCTGCTTCCACTCCCAGAGAAGTCAATGGCAGAAGTCCCATTGACCTCAGTGGGAATGCGCATTGTTAATGGGGGTTTGCATTTCATCCTTTCTAAAAGTTGATATAATGGTATTTACTCATCCAAGGTAATTAATCCCATATAATGCAGAATATTTGTCCCATATGAATAGGCCAATAAACACTTGCTAAGGAAAAAACTGAGCAGTTAATTGAGTGAGCCTTTTGGCTGAACATCCAAAGGGGACTTACGATTAAAAATAATTAGTTTTCAAGTAATAGAGATAAGCTATCTGCATTGTCCTATGATGTAACAGGCAGGGTCACACCCGTTATGTCTTCCATAGGCATCAGTTATACTCTATATGTTGTAGTGATAACCCATCAAGGGACAAGATGTTAATTAAATCCTTGTTTCTTGTTATATTAAATGGCTAAGTGTGGTCCAAAAATTTCACATCAAGTTATGGCTGGCTTTCTCCGGTTATAACCACCACCATTAACATCTTTTTAACCTTTCATTAAAGATACAGAAAAAGAAGGAAAAACTGTTTCAGCATAAGAAATACAAAATATTAAGAGTAAGGTTTTCATTTTAGCCATATCCCTTATTCTCTTCCCTTTAGCTGCACAGAGTTATTTATTGGGAATGTCCCTCTTTGTCTTTTAGACAGTATAAAAGATGGTAGTAACTGGCCTTTTTTGGAGAAATGTTAGTTTAAATGGTCTGGTGCCGTCGTTGAAGTCTGATCCTGTTTTCTTTAAGACAATATGACACACACACGCTCAAAAAGAGAAAAGAAAAGAAAACAGCAAAGATAGAAAAGCAGTTCAGTGGTATACCTCAGTAGTAGGAAGGGATAGCTCAGTGGTTTGAGCATTGGCCTGCTAAATCCAGGCTTGTGAGTTCAATCCTTGAGGGGGCCACTTAGAAATCTGAGGCAAAATCAGTACTTGGTCCTGCTAGTGAAGGCAAGGAGCTGGACTCAATGGCCTTTCGTGGTCTCTTCCAGTTCTAGGAGATAGGATATCTCCATTAATTTATTTATTTTTTTAGCTTTTGTCTCTGGTGCGTTTTCCAGACCGCTGAATTTTCTAGCGTAGACCAGGCCTGAGAAAGGCCTCCATCCAACAGAACTAGTCCGGTCCTCTGACTGCCCACCAGTAATGGCTGGCCTTAGTAGAGATGTCTAGCATGCAACCTAGCCACTCAGACTGTGCACTAGGTATTATGGTTTGTCTCTGGGTGGACCAATAGGACACAGCTTTGATTCAGCAGCCCTGCAAGAATGCACGGCATTGGCAGTCTGAATAACTGAGTGGAGGAGCAGTGATTCACTATTTTGAGATATGATATAAATCCCCTTGAATTTCATCCTCGCAAAGAGAATCTGACAAAGGTTGAAACTGGTCTAAAGATTGTTACCTGCTGCTGCTAGTACATTTGTCTGAGTCAATAAACATGAGTGTCAGTTACCTTGGGTTGCAAATTTGCTGGAGTGCAATCCGGTTTTGAGGTTTTCCCACATCTCTAATTTGCCCCCTGGAAAAAATGGGGAGGCTGAAACATACCCTGATCGCAGATGTGTGAAGACGAGTGTAAAAATTAAAATCTCAATTGGCAGATTAAATATTGCTTATAACAGGTCTGCTCCAAAGCACACTGAAGTCAATAGGAGTCTTTCTACAGACTTCAGTGGAAAATCGATCTGGCTCCCAGTAAGAGCTGGTCAAAAAAAAAAAAAAACAACTCTGCCAAAAATACTTTCCATCTTTGGATGGAAAATATTTTTGTTTTTTGTTATTAAATGAAATTTTCAAGAAATTCCATGTTCACAAAAAAATGTTACTGAAAAACTAATTTATTTTCTCTTTTCAAAGAAAAATGTCGATGAAAGTGAACAATTTTTCATTTCCGTTTTTTTTTTTTTCAGGGAAAAAAATTATTCCCCAACCGGTTCTACTCCTACTAAAGACTTTCAACATATTAAAGAGTGACTGTCTTTTTCCTACCTTGAAAATGCTGCTACATTATCTGCTAATGTTTGTTGATTGTCTGCTCCTGATCGGTAATAGTCGTACACTGCTTTTGGAAGAACTCTCTTGGCGTATTGTTCAAAATCACCAACACAGACTGGTTTTCCAGACATTTTGCAGACCCCGCAGGATAAATCTCTTCTCACATCCCACTCTTTTTAAGCTCTATTTTTCAGCCTGTAAATAATTAATGTGGGACTTTTCCAAAGTTCAAGTATCTGAATCAATTGAATTGACTTTTAAAGATGTGCAAACAATCCTGGCATGAATCTGGACGTTCTCTTTGGACTTTGCCATTCTATTCTGATTCACAGTTTGAGGTATGTGCTTAGCGGGTTCAGGGCAGATCCTGGATGTAAAGCTCTACAATGTGGGGAAAAGGAGAAACAAGAAATACAAATGAATAAATAAGCAAACATATTGGCACTATAGGGATGTATGAATTAAAGCTTAACCTAGGCTAGTACCTCAGGTCAGGGACTGTGTCTGTGTGTGTCTTGTTCAGACCTCTAGATCTTGTCAGTGCTAAAGACTAAAAAATTCTGATCTAACACCCACAAAGGTAGAGGATATCTCGGATGTCTACAGTTAAGGCCCCTACTCAGGAGATCTGGCTTCAATTCCCAGTTCTACCCCAGATTCCTTGTCCTTGGGTAAGTGACTTTCTCCCCGTGGCTCAGTTCCCCCTCTGTAAAATGGGATAATAATCCTTCCTCTCTCCCACCCTGTCTTGTCCACTCAGCCAGTAAGAGACAATACCTGCCCCAAAGCACTTACTGGGTGTTTGTACGGCACCAAGCACAGCAGAGTCCACTTCTATAATGTAAATAAATCCCACCTCTACTGACCACCCGTAACATGAAAAACTGGCCTCTCACTGCTTCATTGATCAACACCTAGATCAATGGTGCTGTGCTTCCTCTTTTCCCCTGCAGGAGGGGCTGTGGGCAGCAGAAGCCTCTGCCCATTCCTCCACTGCAGACACAAGCTTAGCGGGTGGGGGCCAGCCCTGTAAGAACCCCAGTGGGAAGAAGGCTAAATGCCCCAGCAAAAGGAGAGGTTGTTGAGGGAATCAGAACAGTGAGTGGAAGGTTGTTGGGTTTTTTTGGGGGGGGAGGAGGGGGAGATAGAGGGTGATCTTGGTTCTCTCACTAGCTCCCCTCCCCCACCCCATCAATTCCTGGTTGTGTCTTCCCTCCCCCCATACCCAAACTCCATGTTCACCCATATTATTAAGACCTCACCAACCCCAGTTCATTTGCCTGTCCGGCCCTTAGCCTTAAATCTCTCTCCATACTGGGAGGAGCAGTGCATGATGGGATTAGTGGTTTCTATATGGTTGCAGTCCCAAAATAAAGATGCATAGGTTAGGCAGGATTCTACTTTTCGCTTTTATGCATTTTAACAGATAACATTTGAATTTATTTTAGAACTAAACCTAAAGACATTGTCTACAAGTAATGATTTGCAAAGTCTTTTTGAAACTGTGTAATCAACTGAGATTTATGCCTTAGCTGGAAATAAAATGAACTCACCTAATAGCTATTATTTATCTAAAATGTAATAACTGTAAAACAAGTCAAGATTTAGAAATTAAATCATAGTACTTTGACTATATAACATTAATTTCTTCTTACCAGCTTGCCAGAGAGAATTGTAACTTACAAGCACACTGTATCTTACGTTTTCAAATTTCTTGCTCTGTAGGTGTCAATTATTAATGATGCAGATGTTTTCCATTGCTGTTTGGGGTAGAGCAGGGGTTCTCAAACTGGGGGTCGGGACCCCTCAGGGGGTCGTGAGGTTATTACATGGTTATTACACGAGCTGTCAGCCTCAACCCCAAACCCTGCTTTGCCTCCAGCATTTATAATAGTATTAAATATATTTTAAAGTGTTTTTAATGTGTAAGGGGGGGTTGCACTCAGAGGCTTGCTATGTGAAAGGGGTCACCAGTACAAAAGTTTGAGAACCACTAGGGTAGAGGGAGAAATCTAGAATTTAATTAAAATCTAATCCTTCCAAGCCATAGGATGAGGTTCAGTAGAACTTTGAAGGTTACCTACAAGCTCTGTAGGTCACATTTGGGTCACCACAGGTCAACACAGAGCCTGATTTCTCACCACATGACTCCACTATTGAAGTTACACCCGCTTCAAACTGGAGTAACGCGCGGATGAATCAGGCTCCACTAGCTACTTGTGATGTGCTATCCAATCAGGAATTGCATGTAATCAAAAAACAAAGCCATCCACCAGTCCCCCGACCATTTGCATTTTAGAGTGGCTTATATTTCTTTAATGAGGCTGCAGAGTAAATAAACAAACAAAAACTGAATCACAATACATCCTAGTGCCCTGTAACACGATACAGATTCTATTTTTTAAAACAGTGCCTGTGTCTTGTTTTAAAGGTACATCGCTGTTTTATGAATACACTGTCCAGAGTATAAGATCCAATGATGAGTGAGAAAAACACTTACAATTCAGTGGGGATTTTCTAACATCTTTTGAGAAACACCTTAGGGATTCGAACAGGACGGGTAGTGCTGGCCATACGGTCAGCCTTGGGAAACATTTAAAGAAAACTACAGCACTTAGAGAGAAAGCTGTATGTCTCTAATTGCTTTTCCCATATGAAGGGAAGATTAGTCTAAGAGGCTTGCAAGAGAGAGGTTTATGCTTCTTATGGGTATTCATCTGCTGAGAACTTTCATGAGAGGAATTACTGGAGATGAATATTAACGTAGGTGTAATTATACCAGGAGATATTTTATCTAAGGAATGCAGGTCACACATCCATGTCAATTTCAAGTAAAATCCAGAATGGTTTAATTGACCTCTCTCACCCCTCGTGATACAAAATTGGGGCTGTATCCTACTTTTATTATTTCAAAAGCATACAGTCTATGCTAAACAGGCTACCTATTCCAATGCACACCAGAAAACAAATACTGTGTGATAGCCGGACATTTTAATACAGGCAGCTGCATTCAAAGCTACTTCGTACGTCCTTTTATAATCTTGATCATTTGCACAAAAACTGCTGAAGGTAGCGTAGCTCAGGGGTGGCCAACCTGAGCCTGAGAAGGAGCCAGAATTTATCAGTGTACATTGCCAAAGAACCACAGTAATACATCAGCCACCCCCCATCAGCTCCCCTCCTCCCGCTCCCAGCACGTCCCACCCACCGGCAGCCTCGCCGATCAGCCTCCCCCTCCCTCCCCCGGCAGCCTCCCCCTCCCTCCCCACATCTCCCGATCAGCTGCTTCGTGGTGTGCAGGAGGCTCTGGGGGTGAGGGGGAGGAGAGAGGGCACAGCAGGCTCAGGGGAGGGGGCGGGAAGGGGTGGAGTGGGGGCAGGGCATGTGGCAGAGCCAGGGGTTGAGCAGTGAGCACCTCCCGGCACATTGGAAAGTTGGTGCCTGTAGCTCCGGCCCCGGAGTCGGTGCCTCTATAAGGAGCCGCATATTAACTTCTGAAGAGACGTGTGTGGCTCCGGAGCCACAGGTTGGCCACCCCTGGCTTAGCTGCTTCGCTCTTCCCAAGCGGTTCATGCCACCTCCCTCATCCACTACTTCAGTTCATTAGTCACACTCACATAAATGAGATGGGCTTTATGTCACTAAGTAGTTATTTGGTGCACAAGCCAATGCTTCCTCTCTCATACTACGGCGCGCACACACACACACTCTCTCTCTCTCTCTCCCCCCCCTCAGTCCAGACTGGCTAAGAAGGTAAACCCAGGACCAAATTCTGGCTGCTCTCTGCACAGCGCCATATGCCACAAAATCCTCAAGGAACGGGAGAGACCTTCCACCTCAGTTTCAACCCCCTCCCAAAGCGAGTGGGAAAGCTGCTCCACAGCTGTCCCATGACAGGCGACCAGGGAAGGACACTCCTGGTTGGAGTCTCAGTCTAAGAAAACGTGGTCCACCCATTTGTATGCATAGGCCACCCTGACCCAGCAATGGTGACTATGAACCCACCTCAAACAGACCATTCATGTTCCTAGCAGAGATAAGGTGGGTAAGGAACGCCAGTGGGTAGAGCTGGGTCACTACTGGTCACAATCCAGTAGCACGTTGCTATTTCAAAGGTTGCATTTGCAATATTCACGCATTTCCATTATGGAGCTACTTCCCTGATAGGCCAGAATTTGTCCCATGTTTTTGATATAGATGTAATTTATACATCTTTGGCCTGGTCTACACTAGGGGGGGATCGATCTAAGATACGCAACTTCAGCTATGAGAACAGCATAGCTGAAGTCGACGTATCTTAGATCAACTTACCTGGGGTCCACATGGCGCGGGATCGATGGCAGCGGCTCCCCCATCAACTCTGCTTCCACCTCTTGCCCTGGTGGAGTTCCAGAGTCGATGGGGAGCGCGTTCGGGGATCGATTTATCGCGTCTAGATGAGACGCGATAAATCAATCCCCGATAGATCGATCGCTACCTGCCGATCCAGCGGGTAGTGTGGACATACCCTTTGTGTACATCTTTTGATTATAGATGAACATTCAGCAAGCAGAAAAGAATGGCTACATTTTTTCCAGATTCATTTTCATAGCAAATAATTCGCTCTGCTGTACTGCAAAAAGATATGCCATAATCCAAGCAAATTGCCTTCAAGGTGGAATGAAACGCTTTTTAAAAATGTACTAACTGTATAATTGCCCTTGGTGCTCCTTCTCTCTCCCCAGCAGCACTGCTTTCACTGATTTAGATGTTAGAGATGTCACTCACACCACCTACAGAGCACGCCGCAAGGCACCACTGTTTAAACACGCCCTTCCCCAAACAGCAATGCTGTAATGATGTCAGGCCCAGAAGGTATCAAGTACCTGTGCCCTATGGCTGTAAGGAACTGGCTTAGAAGAAGGGGTCCAACTAATTTCAGAAGGAGTTTGATATATTGTGAATGTTGGACAGCACACTCACACTACCACACATGAATGCCATAGACATGCTTCTGAATAGCATTGTTGGGCACTACCAGGCCGGGATGGAGATAGGATGGGAAGAGCAGCTTTTTCAGTGACTCATAGATTCTAGGACTGGAAGGGACCTCGAGAGGTCATCGAGTCCAGTCCCCTGCCCACATGGCAGGACCAAATACTGTCTAGACCATCCCTGATAGACATTTATCTAACCTACTCTTAAATATCTCCAGAGATGGAGATTCCACAACCTCCCTAGGCAATTTATTCCAGTGTTTAACCACCCTGACAGTTAGGGACTTTTTCCTAATGTCCAACCTAGACCTCCCTTGCTGCAGTTTAAGTCCATTGCTTCTTGTTCTATCCTTAGAGGCTAAGATGAACAAGTTTCTCCCTCCTCCTTATGACACCCTTTTAAAT